TCTTATTTCTGATTGCACACTTAGGAGAGCAGACACATTTTAGGTGTCTCAGATTAATGTGGTATATGATAATAATGTAGATATGGACAATATAAAATAGTTTAAAATGCTGATGATTATTCACATGTTAGACTCAAATTGCTTTATATTTGTTATTTAAATTACTTCTATATGCCTCACAAATTTACAGATATTTACAAAAATTTGTTTTGAAAGTAGGTCTTGGGAAATTGTTGTGGTCAACTTGAGGATTGGAATAGATGTTTCTAAAATTGGTTGCCAAATGTTTAATTACATTAGACTTTTAGTTATTTCACTCTCAATAACTCTTCATTTCAAAATAAATCCAATGTTAATTCATAATTTTAAGATGGTGTCTAGTAGGAATCAAATAAATATCAATGGAAATTTTTCAAGAAAAATATGAAACTTAGAATAAAATTTTGCTTAGATCCTATTATTTACCTTAGCACAAATTAATTAATTTATTTCCAGTACTTTTATACACATATGTCGGTGCACACAAAATTTGGTTCACTCTCTAAGTATAAATTTTTTGACTTTTACCTCACTTAATGGTGAAATTTATTATTTTTAAATTTAAATATTTTTAAATAATGTTATTTAAAAATTAATTTCTAAGAGAAATTACCAATTAAAAATTTTGTAAAACAATCACAGTGGCTTAAAGCAACTAAGACTCATTTTTTTTGTTTAGGTCTCATTTACATTTAATGTCATTTGAAAATCTATTCCATGTTACTCCCCATTAGAGATACAAGTTGGTGGAGTGGACAGTGTCAAATATTTTCTAGATTTTTGTGATAAAGGGAAGTAAAAATTGCAAAACACCCATTGACACTGAAAATTCCTAGGATTTTTACAATTAATGTACCTCATACCTATTGACCAAAGTTATATAAAGTTATACATTTGTTGAATGGCAGAGAAAATTATAGTCTTATCATATGCCTAGAAGGAATGAAAAAATACTATATGTGAAGATTCTTAGAGACTAACACAGTCTTCCATTTTAGTTGTAAAGATTTATTTTATTCTTCTTCCTACAAACAAATTATACCTGCTCCTTTCTAAAGAGAAACAAGCATTTCCATCCAGTTAGTTTACAAGCTTAACTCAAAGTATAGGACCTCTTAGTGCTCTCTAGTCTCTTCATTAGATCTGTACTTGCATTCTCTTGGCTCAGTGATCTGTAAATTTAAAAAGGCAGTTACCTGCCCTATGCATACTCAAAATTTAACAGATGGAATTGAATGAAGGTGACCAGTATTAATACTTCCATTCAGATAGAGGAAATTTAGAGAAGATCATAATTCATAGGTCCCAAGAAACGCTGAGAACTATTGAGCAGTTATTGTGAGAAATTCCAACACTGAGTTCATAAATGTTCTCAACTTCCACTTACTGAAAAATAGCTCCTTCATTCTTTGTTTTTCATAATTCTTTAATTCTACATTTCGGACATACTATTTCCATTATCCTCAATAGCTATATTTGAAGAAGACAATGTAAGTTTTCTCAACATGTTTTCTACTTAAGAAAATAGGGAGTCCAAAGGTTATTTTATATCTCAAATAGAAGGTTTTTGAAAAGTGCAGATTCATAATTTATTTGTTATATTACTCTTTCAACAATTTTGCTTCTTATCTATTTGATCTCAGTTGATTCAATGTTCCAATGGCCAAGTTCTCATTCTTATCAAGATACAATTCTCTATATATGTTCTTTTCTATTTCCTTGAACCTATCAGTCTTTCACTTTTTTCTTTACCTTGACTCTCTTGTCTCTGAATTACTTATTTCAACTGAAAGGATATATCGGGTGCTTTTGTAATTCACAGAGAATGTTTAATAACAGGTGTATGATATATATTCTTGAATCAATTCTTACTACCATGGATTTTTATATATGTGTGTATGCATATATACATGAATATATATAATTATACACATATATAGGGAGAGAGAGAGAGAGAGAGAGAGAGAGAGAGAGAGAGAGAAAGAGAGAGAGAGAGAGAGATATTTATGTGTGTAGGTATATGCACACACATAAATGGGCACTTGATCCTGAGCTATATCTAAGCCACTGTTGTTTTTCATTTTGAGACAAGTTCTTGCTACATTGTCCAAACTGTCCTCAAACTTGAAATACCCCTGCATCGGCTTTGTGAATAGCTGTAGTTACAGGGTTATGCCATAATACCTGGGTTAGGGGTTATATTTTAATTACCGTTTGTTGCTCAAAGAATGTCCACAATTTTATGTGTTATATGAAATTGAGAAAATATTTATTTTTCTTTTTTTCACTCCTCTAGCATCTGAAAATCTAGACTCCAATAAGTCAATTTATTTCAACTTGAATACATGGACTTTTTTCTAAGCTTTTCTTTTTTTAAGTGCTGTAAAATGTATCAAAAAATAACAAATACAAGTGTTTTTCAACCTCTTTGTCTTGAGTCATTACAATTGGGTTCATTATTTAACATATAAGCTATTAAAGATGATAGTGTATCAAGCATTTTACCCTGTCACTATGGTTTCATTTTTTTTAATATTGATTTCCTCACTGTCTGACCCCTGATCCTTTGCAGTGCCTCCTAATTTATTTTTGTTCTTGACATGCAAACCCTACTACTAGGACCAGTTTCTATAATCAGTTAGTGTAAGTATAAGCTATATTATAATTGACTAATAAAAACCTCTGAATTTTCAGTGACTGTGAGTAATAGGTATTTATTTCTCATTCATGCTACTTGTCTATCAAGGGCTGGAGTTCAACTCCATATTGTTTTCAAACTATTTCAGGAAGATTGAGAACTCTACCTTGAACATCATTTTGATGGTAGAGGAAAGAGAAGATGGCATCATCAAAAAGTGGCTCACATCATTTTTTTCATACCTTTTATTGATAAAGCAAATTAAATAGCTGGGTTGCTTTCAAATAAGGCAGGTAAGTACAATTCTACCATCTCCCTAGAAGGGGAGAGAAAATAAAATATTTATGAACTCCTATAATTTATTCTATGTATAAAACTATATTATTTTCAAAGTACTCAAGGAGATAAAAAATAGGATGCTAATAATATTTCTGCTTCTAAAATTGGCAATTGTTTCAAAGATGATAGATCCCAGAGTTTACAAAAGGTCATGAAGGAAGCATTCCCATTTACTTCATGTAATGATTCTAAGAATGTTAAAGGGTACAAATTTTTTTGTAGTGTGAATTGGCAATACATGTTAACTCTAAGAAACATAATTTAAATCAGTAATACGAGTTCTAAAATTACAAGCTGACATCCCAACCCATATCCATAAGTTGAATTTCTTTTTAATATTATTTATAATGCCAAACATAAGAAGTGAAAAATATTCAACAATATAAAAATGGTTAAATACATTTTATATAACTGTGGTAAAATTTAATTTGTAGAAATTTTAATTGTTTTGAAGAATATAAAAAATTCCCAGGATTCTCACGAATGTACAAACAAACAACAACAAAACCCCCCAAAACAACTTATAAACTCCATTGACAGGGAGTTGGGGAGCGTGAATAAAGACCCAGGTAAAGGAAGATGGTACTAGAAATGTGAATATACAAAATTAGGGAGAGATGGTGGGTTCAGAATAGGAAAGATTGATATGGCTCATGGTTTCAAATTTGTATATATAAACAAAAGGTAAATTCATTTATTAAAATAATGATCCAAAGATGAGTTTTTTGTGGAAATGGAGAAGATGTGTTTAGCTTTGAGATGTGTTAAGTTTGAAATGTTTTCCATATATTTGACAAGAAACAGCAATGGTTATTTTAGGTTTGGAAATTTTAAAAAGACACTTGTGTAACAGTTAAAAACATTTTTATAATTTTGTATTTCTTAATGCTTTGTGAGAAAATCACTGTTTAAAAATGTATATGCTTACAGACTTCTTTTTACACTTATTTGAAATTTTATCTTTCCTATACAATACCTTTCCTCACTATGTGTGAGCTATGTCTGTTTCTTTGCTTTTCTACTCCTGATGGTACCCTCTGTGCTTTGGTTATACTGCTTTGCTTACTGAATAAAATCCAATCTTTTTGGTTAACATGTCTATGTCTTATTTTTGAATTCTATGTTTTTAACCATTGTAATTTCTGAAATGCTTTGTCTTGCAATCCTTTCTCTGTTGCATAAAATTCTGCCTCACCTATGTTCTTAACTATTTAAGTGTTCAGTTTCAGGATGACTTCCCTCAAGAAACATTTGAGGAGAGCATTTCTTCAGTGTTTGCTTTTTATGTGGTCGTATACTACATCATGAACAATAAATGTTTATTGAATGACTATCCATAATGAATTAATTCAGATCACCATGAGGAAAAAACATTGTCATTTACAAATCTATGTGTAAGTAACTTTATAATTTAGAAGAGATTTCACATGTCTAAGTGAGAGCACAAATGGGGAATTTGACAGAAGTAGAAAAAGGAGAAATATTATCCATGGGGATTAAGAGGATGGATTGAAAATAGAACTCCAAATAAAATGCAACTAAAATTTCAGACTAAATATGCATCATTTGAAGCCACTTAGACTAGAGTTGAACTAAAGGTTCAGGACAGTTTTGGAAGGGTACATACATATTTGGATTTTATAAAGAGATTGAGGATGTAAAGTCATAGAGAACTTAGGTTCTGAATTTAAAAATTTTTGGTTTGTATTGCCTGGTTATTTAATCACAGAGATGTGGAAATTGCATTAAGGAATAAACAAAGATTGTTCTAGAACAAATAATATGCAGGTGAATGGTAAAATATCCAACTCTCCTGACTACTCAACATTCATAGGAAGAAATTAGACTGATTTGGCTTACAGAAAGACAGTGCCCTTGGGGGACTTCTAGAAGGCAAAGAAGTTTTTAATTTAGTTATCATATATTGTTTTCTTAGCAAAGAAAGACTTTTCTTTGGTAGAATTCAGTGAAACCATGAAATCCTGAAAATAGGAAACATCATTTGAAACACTTACTGTCTTCAAAGACAAGAGAAAACTTAGAAGATTCTCATCACCTTGAAGTACCTTTTATTTCTTAATAAGACAGATTCTTGATATCACCCTCTTGAATGCCTCCTTCATATCTTTATTTCTAAGGCTGTAGATGAGGGGGTTCAACATGGGGGTGATGATCCCATAGAAGAGAGAAACCATCTTTCCCCAGTCCTTTGAGGTGGATGAAGGTGGTTGTAGATACATATAGATGGCTGTTCCATAAAAGAGGGACACCACAACCATGTGGGACCCACATGTTCCAAAAGCTTTCCGCCTGCCTTCTGCAGACTTTATTTTCAACACTGCTTGAGCTATGAAGCCATAGGAGATGAGTATCAATGTCACTGGAATTAGCAGAATTAATACACTGAAGAAAAAGAGCTCAGCCTCTATAGGCTTTGTGTCAGCACATGACAACTTGAGAAGGGCAGGAACCTCACAGAAGAAGTGGTCCACTTCCCGATGACCACAGCGTGGCATGTTCAGTGTCAGGGAAGACTGCAACACTGAGTTGCTGAATCCAGTGAGCCACGAGAAGGTGGCCATCCTTAAGCACACCCAGCGGTTCATGATGACTACATAGTGGAGTGGTCTGCAGATTGCCACAAATCTGTCAAAGGACATAACAGCCAGGAGGAGACATTCTGTGGCCCCCAGGGCCAGGAAGATGATAAGCTGGGCCACACAGCCACTGTAGCTGATGGTATTTTTGTTGAGAAAAATATTTGCTAACATATGAGGGACTGTGGTTGTGGTATAACAGAGATCTAAGATGGAGAGATTAGCGAGAAAGAAATACATGGGTGTGTGAAGTTTGGGATCCAGAAAGCACACAACCATGATGGACACATTGCCAAAGATTGTGAATGTGTATGATATTAGCAAAACCACCAAGAGAGGCATTTGTAGCCAGGGACTATCTGAGAAGCCAAGTAGTATAAACCCTTTTGAGAAACTGTCATTTGCCCAATTCATGATGACTCACTTATGGTTTTGTTCCTAAAAAATATAAGAATAAAGAAGTAAATACATATTATTGATTACTCATTGGGTCTGAATTGTTATAACAATTGACTTCATGCCAAATATAATCTATAATTAATTAATGAAGCATTGTGAAGAATATAGGTATTTTAAAACTAAAAATTATGGTTCTTCTGTTTTTAGTAGTTGTGTTTGACTTTCCCCTACCCCCAACTGCACCGTGTGGCTGGGGACTGAATCCAGAACCTCAAGGCCTCATACATTCTAAGTATACAGTTTTCCACTGGATTGCATTGAATTATTTTTAAAGTAAATTATTACATTTAAGTGGCATAAAGAACATAATAATATGTGTATATGAAACTGGGTACTTAGTACATTTTAAATCCTGTCTTCTTACTTCATAACCTACCTTAATACAACATTATAGTAATACATGCTACTTTGAATCCAAGTCAAAAAATTTTGAGTAACTTAGAAATTATGAGTCCTATCTAAATGTATAATTGATATAAAGAAATTCTGCTTGCTTTACTAAGATCTTTATGTGATTTTTCTTTTGAGTTGTATTTTTCTTCTGTGCATGTCTATTCCCATAAAGAACAATCATGGGACTCTTTGATTTATTGTAAAATTTTGTAGGCTACTTATGATACATTGTAATGATCATGGGTATCCTCTCTATTCACAAATACCCTTGATGATGATAGTAAAGCTGATAATATAATAATTATTTGATTGATATGTGACTGACACTGCTTAGTATCTAAAATACAAACCTTCTAATTCTCACCAAAACTCTGAAAAATATTTATGATTTACATTTTATTGCTATTGTGACTCAGGGAGATAAGTAATGTGAATAAACATATTGTAAGGCGAAGACTTAAACCTAAGATTAAACTACACTTTTCTTTTTGTGTAATAGTTCCCATCAAATATAAAAAGAACACAATAAGAATATACAAAGATGACTTACACCATTTGAACTTAACAAGCATTAAAAAAAAGGAGAACGTAATACAGAGTTAAAGAAAAAGACAAAATAATAAAGACTGGTTTATTTATAAACACTTTACCACAGAATGAGAAACTTTATCCAGAGTGAGAAAAACTCACATTGAAGTATAAACTGCCAGGAGAATGGGTACATGAGAGTGAACAAATGTGCATCTAAGAATTGTAGGTCCTCATAATTTGAGTTGTTTTTACAATTTTCATTCCAATATTGGCTTTTTAGCTACAGATATACATTATTTCTTATGAAAAACAGTAACCCACCTTCAGTTGAAAAATATATTAGACTTTCCTGAATTTGCATATAAATTTAGATGTCCCACTGACTCTTTCTATGTAAGGAGATATAATGAGAAAATATTCATTCAAAAGAATGAAAAGATAAAAGGGACTGGTTTCTAGGAAACAAATCAGACACTCTAAATACAAGTTATGGATGAGATGACCTTGAGAGATACTTTCCACTCATAGTAACATAATTTTCTGTAATGGATACCACTCACCCTTTTTTTTTCCTGTGACAAAGAGATGTCTACATCTTTCTTTGTGCCATGTCTGGATGGAGGTTGTGCCTGATAATGGGTTTTAAACTCAGTAAATTTTTAAGCTTTCAGCCTTGTGGCCTTTCACTCACCAGTGAAAAATGAAATTAGGGTGCAACCTGGGCTGCATCAAAAACATTAAAAAAGTCCTCATGAGAAAGTGCAAGTAAATTATAGATATTGTCTTCAATCATGGAGGCATTTTTGACTGACATAGGCTCTCCTCACCAAGATCCTAGTTGACTGCCACAATGAAAAGCTGATTTTACATATATCAAAAACATTGATGAGAAATGTTTGCTACTTTAAATAAAACCAACCAATCAATATTTCTTAAGGACCCATGTTTCACAGAGCACTGTCCTCTATCTCCTATGGGATTTGAGAGTTCTTCAGGCTTAATTGGTCATTGTGTCCAGAGAGACAAGAAGTGAACTCTATTACCAATTGTAATTGTAGTACAATACTGGCACAAAAAAAGGCTTCATAATTCCTACAACTAGGGTGAAGGTTAGAGCCACACAATGTGAACCATAAAAATAAGTTTGGGGTTGTCTAATTAGGAAGCACAAAAATAAATGAACTTACAGCCCTAAAATTCCCTTTAAATGGCCTCAGTGCAAAACAGTGATGGGTTTATATGAGAAAAACATTTCTAAAGTGATTTCTTTAATGAATAATTCTGAGTAAACCTATTATAGATATGCAGGTTAAAAATATGTTATACAATGTCACTCAACATAGAAATTAACATACTGAAGTTTAAGGTTAGTATGAATGAAGTGGGGCCCAACAACTGGAAATGACATGGTATTGCAATAGGATTAGTTTTAAAAAAATAAGTTGACATGTGCAACTTATAATATGATATGTGAAGATCTAAGTTTTAATAAAATAAAGGTTATAATTAATTTAGTATTAGTCTAGATAAAATCTGAAAGAAAATATTGAGTTAACATTTTAATGTATTTATTTTCCCTTTTTTTCTGTGCGCCATGTATTCTTATAAAGTATAAAATCATATTTGTAGAATATAATAATTTTCTAAATTACATTATTTCTAATACATGGTTTTGAAGCTTTTATAAACTAATAATGTATTCATAAATTATATGTACTTTTATATACTTTTTAAATAATTTTCTACAATTAAATATTTTTATTTTCTTAATCTGTCATTTTATACTGTAGGACATTAGAATAAAATGTTCTCATATTGTAACTTCTTCACTATTTGTTTTTACAAATTTACTTATTTTTTAGATTGCAAAATTACATTTATTGTGTACAACATGATATTTGTATGAATATATACATTGTAGAATAGCTAAATCTAGCTCATTAACATATACATTACCTCACATGTATATCATTTTGATAATTACATACTTAACATCCACTCATCATTATTCATTAGTATAGTAAGTTGTCACTAATTATTGTCATTTTGCAGTACAACTTCTTCCTTGAACTTATTCCACAGATATAATTGTAATTTTGTATCCTTCAGCCAACATATCACTATCCTCTACCCACCCACTATCCCAATGTCCTTAACTTTGAGCAACTACTATATATGGATGCATAATGCAGTATTTGTCTTTCTGAACCTGGCTTATTTCATTTAATATAATATTCTTTGGTTCATCCCTGTTGTTGTAAATGACAGGTTTTCCTTATTTTTAATGACTGAATAATATTTCTTTCTGTATATATGTGATGTTTTCTTTATATATTCATCCACTAATGGACACTTATCTCATATAGACAATTTTGATAGTGCTGTAATAAACATGGTATTTACTTTAGATGTATACCCAGAAATGGGATTTCAGGATCATATAATACTTCTATTTTTTTAAATTTTTTGAGGAACCTCTCTACTTGTTTCCATAGTAATTATACTGACTGATACTCCCACCAACAGTGTGCAAGTGTTCATTTTTCTCCACATCCTTGCAGACATTTGTTTTCTTTCTTCCTTTTGATAATTATATTCTATCAGAGGTCAGTTGTTAGCTTGCTGTAGTTTAAATTTGCATTTTCCTGATAATTCACAATGTTTAGGATTTTTCATACACCTGTTGGCTATTTGTAGATCATCTTTGAGAAGAGTGTATTTGGGTCTTTTGCCTATTTTTTTTGTTTGTTTTTTAATGGAGTAATTGGTTTTCTTATTACTGAGTTCCTTGTTTACTTTGGCTATTAGTCTTTTATCAGATGTATTGTTTGCAAACATTTTTTATATCTCATGTATTATCTACTTGTATTTTTTGTTTTCCTTGGTTGTGATGAATCTTTTCAGTTTTCACTAATTTGAGTATTTTTCATTTTGTTGCTATGCTTTTCAGATCATATCTGAGAAAAAAAAAAAACATGCCCAGACCAATGTTGTGTAGATTTCCCCTACTTTTCCTAGTAGTTTTATAGTTTCTGGTCTTGTGTTAAGTATTTAACCCATTTTGAGTTGGTTATATGGGATGTAAGTCTAATTTCATTCTTTTCTATGTGGATATCCAGTTTTCCCCTACTATTTCTTGAAGAGACTATATTTTTCCCTTTGTGTTTTCTTAGCATTTTTCTCGAAACTCATTTCAACATACATCTCTATTCTGTCCCACATGCTGATATGTCTATTTTTTTATCAGTATCATATTTTTATTACTCTAACTTCAAAGTGTAGTTTGAACCAAGTAGAGTTATGTTTCCAGTTCCTTTTTGGAAATGACTGCCTTGGATATATTGGAGTTTATTTTAATCATTCTATGAGAATTTCAAGATTATTTATTATATTTCCCTGAAAAATTATATTAGAAATTTGCTAAGGAATTGCAATGACTTTGTAGCTCTCTTTGGTTCAATTAATTAATAGGTATTTAAATTTTTCTACTTTTATAGGAGATTGCATTTTGAGTTCCTTTTTTATATTGTTCACCACTAGTACATAGAAACATACTGGTTTTTGTGTCCCACAACTTTACCAAATTTGCTTATTAGTTCTAGTAGTTTTTTTTTTTTTTTTGGTGGAGCAGACAGTGACAATTTCACCTTTCCTTTCTTATTTGATAGCTTTTTATTTCTTTCTCCCATATAATAATTCTGACTAGGACTCCTAGGACTTTTGAAAACAACAGGGGAGGTGAAACTTAACACCTGTCTTGTTCCATTACTTACAGGCTTTCTATTTTTCACCATTGATTCTGATGTTCATTCAAGGATTTTCATATAAAACCTTTCATTTTTCTCATTTGTTTTTTCAGATATTCATTATAGTAGAGTGTATTTTGACATATTATGCATACATGGGGTGCACTCCATTACAATTTTGATCCCATTCTTGTGGTTGAACATGATGTGGAGTTACATTGGTCATGTACTCATATGTGAGCCTAAGAAAGTTATGTATAATTCATTCTACTTACTGTCTTTCTGATTCCTGTCCTTCCTCCCTTTCCTTCTTTCCCCTTTTTCTAATCCAATAAACT